GGCAAAGCCCACTAACCACTGGTTTTCCAAAAAGAAGCATAATACCATGGAGACAGGAGCTCAGCTGTCTCCTCTAGGCTTGCCTGACTCAAAGCCCCCCTGAGCAGGATGATCCCAGAAGCTGGGAGGGGTCAGGGCATGGCTGCATGGAGAATGTACAGCAGTGAGGAACTGGTCTCCAGCTAGAAAGAGGCTTCTTGAGCCACTTATAATGGTTTCTCATCATGATGGTCATTCTACCATCTGATCACATGGGGACAGTGAGAGGCAAAGTGGAATCATATCCTCTCAGACTCCCAGAACCTCAGATGATGCCGGCTTGGGAAAGACCTTCAGCTACATTAGGTGTGGAAGTAGCTTAGGCACAGTGCTAGCTGGAGCATATAGCCAGGAATACAAGATGCTAACTGCAGCCATTTGTGCTCAGCAGCACAGCAAGTGGGAGGTCAGGCCGTGTTCCCCAGCCTGGAGCCCTTGAGTATGAGTGAGGCCTGTCTCTGAACGGGAGCGTATAGTCTTGCCTAATTCTCAGTGCCTACCACCATTGCTGGCTGACACAAAGTTATAGATAATGGAGGAAGACTGGGCCCCTTACAAAGCTCTGTGGAATCCATGGAGGTATATTTTCATCATCATCCCCAAAATACATAGGGAGAACAGATCCCATGGAAGTGATCTTTTAAAGGGCAGAGGACATGATTTTAGTTTGAGCATTTTTATGTATTCATTGACCACTTGTATTTCATCTCTAGAACTGTCTTTTCATTCACCCTTCATGAACTTCATGGCCCATAGCTTGGATATTGTAGCTCATTGTAAATGTCTAGATTTAATTAATTCTCTGTTTCTTTCAAGAACTGCTCATATCCTCAAGTAACTGTTTCTTTTGCTGGTGTGAACTCTATATTTCCCTGGGAAACCATTTCTCAATTGTTGCCAGGATTTTTTGAGAGGCTGGAGTCCTGTTCAACCTTTAACTATTCCTTACTGTTAGCTCTGTGTTCTTAACAGTTTCTGGGTTTGAGTGTTACACTTACATCTCCAAGGTGCTTGGTATTGACTTTGAACAGTGTGACACATAAGAACTTAGTTTCTCTTTTTGTGGAAATCCAGCATCATTTGTTAAAGAGGACATGTTTCAACCAAGGTATATTTTCATCATCATCCCCAAAATATATGGGTCTTAACTGCACATATTTACAACTGGAACTCAGCTCAGATTCATTTTCTTGTGCCAGCAAGAGGTTGTACTTGCTGCTTATGGTTGTGAATCATGACCTTATGTGAGGCATGCTCATGCTATCCAGGGTATTTTGTGTTTCTATGGTAATGTCAAGATTGCTTTTCTATTTCTGGAAAAATGGCATTAAAATTATTATTGAGGATTGTGTCCAATGTGCAGATTGATTTTCATGGTGTACCTATTTTCATAATATCAAATCTACTAACTTTAAGCATGACATGACATTTGACTCTTCTGATGACATCAGTAATGCTTTGTTGGTGGTCATGAATTTTTTAGCCAGTTTGACCAGGCAAGTTTTTCTTTGACCTTGGATCACGACAGGTTTTGTGGCTACAGAAAGAAAGGTTGACAGTTGTCTCTCAGAGCTTGAATTACATCATGGCATTTAACTTTCTGTAGGATAAAAATTTCTCCTTTGGTGATAGGCCTATGTTCAATTGTTACTGTTGTGTCCTGTAGATATATTATTTTGTAATGTGAGGTGTGAGGTTCTCCCATGGTCTCATTTAGTGTTCTAAAGGCCTCCTGCCACAGGATCAGGTCTCTCTGTCTTCAGATTTGGGGAAACTTCTGTTATTATTTCATGAAAATATATGTCCTTTCCTTTGGCATGAAATTATTCTGCTTTCCCTAGGCATGTGAGTCATACATTTCTCTTCTTGTGGTGTCTTATGTCTGTGTAAGTTTGGTCTTGTCTATCTAGTTTCCATCTCATTGACTCTACTTGACTCCAAATCTATATCCATTCTGTTGCTTTGGCTTTCCTCACACTTTTTGACTTTACTTACTGAATCTTCCCTTATTGAATACCTTCAAGTATTTCAGGGTTTTGTTGTTACTGTTTGCATGTTCTCAGTATTTCTAGCTATTGGAAGCTGAACCCCCACATCTACTGCTGATTTCCCTATGAAATCACAAAATCCAACTAACAGTTTGTGTCTCTTAGAATCAACCTAGAAGTTTGGGTCCTCCTGAGTTCTTTCTAAATGCTTATAAGCACTCTTTTGAATTCTTCATATGGGATTTCATCTAAATCACTGTCACTAGAAGATATTATTATGGGGTTAGGTGTTTGAAGGATTCATGTTGTCATGCCTTTACATTATTTTCGTTTTATTTTTTTCATTAGTACTTGTTCATCTGGGGATAGGTCACAAATGGGATTTTTTGAACCAATATTATTCTCTCAGAAGACAATTTTACAGCATTGAAAGAAGAATATGGTATATGAGGCTTGAGCTGCTGTCTCCATTGTGTATTGGTACTTATCACACCAGTGTCAGTTCCTAGCCACCCCTGAGAACAGAATATAGCCTCCCAAATCAAGGACTGTGAAAGAGTAGACACGTTTGGGACAAGGACAAAAATGGTCATATATCAATGCTAACCCCCTAAACACTGATTATTGTTGGAAGAAACAAAACTGTAATGGAACCATGTGTATAAACATATTATTTCTGGTGGAATGAGTAAAATAGAAAAGCATCATCAGACATGTGAATACTACTTAATTCATAAGAAAAAGGAGGGAAAATAAGATAAAATGGGCATGAGGGAGATGAGGAGGCTATGGAAAGAGGCAGTTAGAATTAAAAGTAAATTCAAAGAGAGATGTAAAGAAAAAGAATCAGGTGGTCTAAGAGAGCCTGGAGCTTCCGACAATTATCAAATAAAGTGTCATTGTGTTTTCTAGTAAGTCAAGTAGAAGAAATGGGGAGAGGGGAAGAACAGAGAAAAGGGAAATAGGGAGAAAGAGAAAGAAACTTAGAAATTGAGAGGGGGAATGGGGAAGGAGTAGAGGAAAAAGGTAAGGGAGAGGCAAATGGAGAGGTACTGACTAAACTTGGAGACATATTTTACCCAACATAAAGCACACTCAGCAAAGCACTACACAGAAGGTGACTATGTAAGCCTATAGTTTATTATGAAATTGACAAAAAGGGTAAAATTTTACTTATATTGACAGACCTCCAAACTCTTCATCTTTTCAACAGCCTATCCAATAGAAGGGACCTTGATGGGCTAATAATTAAGAGAGGGCTATCTAATAAGAAGCCCTAGCCATCAACCAATAGTTTAATAATTAATATAGCATCTGTGTGTTTATTTGGGACAGCAGGGTGGTGGGACCTGGTGGGACAAGAACCTCCACAACAGGACCTTATTCAAGGTATACAATCCTGTTCCAAAACTTGAGTTAATACTCCAATTTCTACATTCTCTAGCATGCAGCAAGGATAATTGCTATTGGGGGCTTCCAAGTAAAATAAAATAATAGCTGGAATCCCAGATAGGGTTAGATAGCATCCCTTTTGCTTCTTTTATTAGGTGGTGTTAACTGTTCTACCTACCAGTGCCCTGTTCCACTGAGTTACTTCTCACGGTCTTGTATCAGTGTAATCACTACTGAAGATTGATCATGTTGCACCTGGTGAAAAATTAGCACAATACTCTACCCTATTCCCTCAACCACTTCAATTATTTCCTCTTTTGTTAACACCATTTTTACTGATCTTTGGATGGACTTATTTACACATGAACCTTTCCTGAATATTAAAATTTCATCTTACCAGAACAATCACTGGGTCTCAGTGGCCTAACAAGTTACAACCCTTTCCATCAGTAAGTAGGACTAATTAGAAGAGGTTGTCCAAATTGAAGGCACACTGCAATGGTAACAGCAGCACCTGTCATGTCCAGGACACAGGACCCCCTCACACAACCACTGCAGAGACAAGCATAGATGCAAACACACAGGGTTTATTAAAGACTACCTCTAGTTCGAGTCCTCCAGCAGCACTCTAGATCAACTAGTGAGAGGAATGAACCAGCAGGGTTGTGAGTGTGTAAAGGGGAAAAAACCCAAGTTAGGAGAGTACAAGACTTGGCATTTTCTGATTGGTTCAGGAGGGATGCTTCCTGGGTCCATCGGCCGTAGGGTTAAATAAGCATTTGGGAATTTCTGTTAGAGCATCTGTTGACATATTGGGAAATCTGGAGACCATGATAAGACGTCTGTTTCCTTGGTGTCAGGCTGATTCAACAGGATTTGGGGGCTATTTGTGTGTGTGTGTGTGTGTGTGTGTGTGTGTGTGTGTGGGTTTTCTGGGAACTGTGTTGAGGGTCCAGTCAGCAGCTTCTCAAGATGGTATCCAACCTAAAATGACATTAGTATTGCCTGTTGGTGTCTGGCATCTTACACCAACAAGTATACTAATCTGTGGGAGCAAGCATGATACTTAGAAGGGAGGTAGAGAGGTGCACCCTTTCTATTTAACAAGACAATTCATAAAACATCATGGAGTTGTCTCCACACAGGGACTCTTGACCTTATCAATCACAGGGCTTTGTCCTTGCCCACAGAACAAGATGTGGATTCCCTCCTGTGTGACCTATCTCAAATTCAGTCAAAAGGTTGTTGGTTGTACACATAAAAACTGTGCCTTCATTGTTCCAGTAAGCATATCTTTCTTGACATTTTGATAGTGTAGGACAGAGAGTCCTTAACCAACTACTCTGTTCATTTCAATTCCTCTTCAACAGCCTGAGAAAAAGTTCTGGGTCTTTGAAAGAGAAGGAAAGCTTCACATCAATGATGGCATGATTTCTCAAAGTTCTGCAAATAGAACATGCTGTGTCTTAGCAATAGGATCTTGCCATCTGGTTCCGGCATATAGTCAATATCACTGGCAGTTTTATCTGGTTTGGAGTGGTTCAATCTAGTTTGGACTGGTTTGATCCACTTTGAACCAGTTTAATCTCTTTTGGCTAGAGGAATTCCATAAAGGAGCTCAGAGACTTTGTGGTCATTCTTGCTCACTTGATCAGAGTGCCCACTAATGACACTGGCACTTGCCTGGGCTTGATTCCACCTGATGACTGTTTTGGTTTGATTACTGTGGGATCTTGGAGTTGGTCCAGGTCTATGAGGGAGCTGAAGAACTGGGAAGGATGACTATCTGTTAGCAGTGTAGTGATGTCTCCAGAATTGATGCTGGATCCCATCACACTGTCCATCAAGCACCCATTGCTCTTCTAGACCCATGTGACTGCTTCCTCAGGTGGCATTGTGAGAAGCATGCTTTAGGCTCCCAGCTTCAGGCCAGTGCAGTGGCTGATGCATGTTGGGATGTTCTAAAGGGAGGAGTGATAAGCTTTGGTTTTTCTTTTGTGCTCTCATTGACTTCCAAAGGCACTGATATCATCCATGTTTTAGTCTCTGTTTGTTCCAGGCCTGGAGCTGGAAACAAAGCCAGGAATTCTGAAGGATGATTGATGGTAGTTGATAAAGACCTGTTCCTATGGACAGGTGGTATGTTAATCTGTCAGACCTCGATGCGGATGTTCCGGAGATCTGGATTCTACAGCAGATAAGGTGTCTGGCATGGAGCTGGCAATCTCAGGGACATGTCCATCTGCATGTATGTTTCCACCACTGAAACAGAGTCAAAGAAGAAGTCAGGGTCCTAGGTGAGATACTCCTCTCCCTTCACAGCACCACAACAGTCAGGACCCAGTGACAGTGGGGAAAGCATCTTGTGAGTTCTGCTTGAGCAACATCGAGAGTAGTCTCTGTTTGGAGTCAGGGGGTGACTGTTGTAGTGTTACTCATTGTCATGTGATGTCTTGTTTCCTCAGATGTTTTTTGTGTTCCTTTTTGCTTGTGTGGTATGTTCCTCAGATGTTTTTTGTGTTCCTTTATGCTTGTGTGGTATGTGCATGCTTAACCACCAAGTGGCAGTTACAGAATTCTCTTGGTGTATGGTCTCCAGTTGACATCTCTGATACAGTGCCTTTCATTTTCTTGAAACTTTGCTATTATTCAGGTTGCCTGGTCCATAACGTCTAAAAACCTTACCAACATCTTACTGTTCATTCCATTACATTTTCACCCTCAGAAGCCTGGCTTTTTATGTGGATGTTGGCATCCAAACCTAGCTCCTCATTCCTTCAAGGCAAGCATTTAACAACTGAGGTTTTCCTCCAGTCCCATGTTTCACAGACTTCTTGTAAGTGACATGAATAAATGATTTAAAAATATGAAAATCTTTGAGCTTGTGTATGGCTCAACAGTAGAGAATATGTCTCCATGATCTTGGCTTTGAGCTTCCTCCTATGCACCACAACAAAATAAAATAAGAAAAGAAGAAGCATTTCATACCTTAAAGTTTAGAGTTTTACATGGGCTACAGCTAACTCTCTCTACAATTTTAAGTGAAGGAGGATGCCAGGACAGGTGATTGGAATCTGGGAGGAATTCTTCCTTAGAGCCAGATTCTGAGGTGTGTTGCTCTGGAGATGGTTTTCAACAGGTGGAAAAATCAAGTGTTACCAAAACAAAAATCAGTCATGGGTATCTTTTACAACCTTGACCAATAGATCAAATAGGAGTTGACTACAGTGTGGTTGGTACATGGGACTGATGAGATTGGGCAGTGAGATTTGCAACTGTGTTGTGCTCCTTGGCATCTCTTAAATGCAGAATGGATGACATTCACTGCTCTGCATTCTTTCCATTGCAGAGTCTGAAGATGGGGATGGTGAGCCAGAGCCAGGCTTTACCTATTAGGATTCATGTTTTCCCACTGAGTGGACTGTTCATTCTTGAAAAATAGTGCTGAGATTCCTTTGAGTGCTCATCTCATCCCTTCCCCTCCTGGCTCTGTACTTGAAGACTGGTGTCTGCCTTGGCTTGAGCAGATGTGGAATAGTAGATGGCAGAGGTTGAGAGTGGTGGTTGGACATTCATTGACTGAATATCCCTTAGCATCTTTACCATTTCTGGTTGTGGGCCAGAGACCTGACTCCCATTGCCATTGGTCTGCAGGCACTGCCCAAGTTCTTCAGCTATTAGAGTGCCCAGGCTTTTGTGGTCATAGTAATAGACCTTGCTGCTCTCCTTGTAGGAAGGTGTCCTGAAGGGATGTGAATGGGACAAGGCCAGCAGACAGTGTAAAGGGGCTATGTGTTTGGGGTCTAAAATTTCATTGCACTGGGCTATCATAGACAGGGAGGAGAGTGTGTTATTCTGTTCAGTGATGGTCACAGTGAACTCCCAGTGAACATCTGCCTTTCTGTCAGTACTTCCTGTGGGAACCCACTTGGGAACCCCTGAATAGGAGTGCATCAAAGTGCAGATCTGGCTCTGTTCAGTCACCACAGGCAGCATGGTCATGCCAGCATGATGGCGAAGGTGGGCACTATCTCCATTAGATGGAGAGAAGTGCTGCAGGCTGATGGCAGGAGCCATGCTGACCTCACAGCTGGGGTAGAAACTCTGCAGAAGTTTGCACACACTTCATGCTGAGGGCTGATACAGGCAGAGAGGGCTGCAGAGCACATGCCATCTCAAAGAAAGGTGCCTAAACTTAGAAAATTTTCTGTAAGACACAAGAGGACAGTGGAAAACTGGTGAGTTCATAGCTCTGTGGGTTAGTTTGGGGAGCAGTGTTACCTCCAGTTTGTGCTAACTGGGGAAGTTGAAGACCTATGTTCCTCACAGATCCCAGCGAAAGGAGTCAGACTGATTCTTGGTACTGAACTTGATGACACTGATTTGATGAGCTGCCTCTTCCTGTGTGGGCACAGAATTCCTAGTTTATGGGGTTCAACATTTTCTCCAGTCTAGACACTGCCCTTCTTTGTGCTGCTTTGTTTTGATCTCATGCCTGCTGTGAGACTGCCTCATAACTGTATCCCGGAATAGAAGTGATTACAGGTAGGAGAACCACAGACAGCTTCTTGTACCACCGCCTTTGCCCTCTTCTGTATGGATTTTACTCAATGTAAAGAGACAGAGTCTACATAGATCAGACTGGCCTTGAAATCACAGAGAAGGGATTACAGGTGTGTACCAATGCCAACAAGCCGGTCTTTACTCTGAGATTAAAAATTGTTTTGATGTATTGAGAATTTCATATATGAATCCTGTACTCACTTAATTACTCCTTTCTCCTTCTCACTGCCCTTTTGACTCTCTCATTCCTTCTATAACTCATGACCTCTTATTGTTTATGTATAACTATTAAGCACATGTGTATAAAATTTATGAATAAAATCTGCTGATATCATTTCATGTGGCTCATTGCTCATTAGTATTTAATTCTAACCTCTTGGGATTTGCTAGCTTATCAAAGAGTTTCCCCTGAGCAAGACTTATTCTTTATCAGTAACTTAATTCCCTGTAACTCTTACAGAGATGAAGCCTTATGAGAATTTTCCAATATGCTTGCATGTCAGTTGGTGTTGTACGAAGATCATTTTACTGTATAGTGCCCAGTCCAAGTTGACAATATCCAACACAACTACTGCACATAAGACCCAGAGAATACTGCTGAAGACTGGATAAGTGGTTAGAGACAGGGGATCATCTGCTCAGAGATAGTGTCTTCAGTATATGACGGGGAGGTTGAACCCAGGATAATCTCAACAATATGGTTCCTAAATAAGGCTTGGGAAATATCAATGCCTTGAGTCTCTTGATTTGAAATCTGTAGTTCTCTGTAACATTGGTTCCCAAACTACCCTTATGTTTCTTTACAATCATCTCTGCAGTTTAACTGCTTTTATTTCTATATTTTCTATCCTAAGTCATTGTAAATTTTTAAACCCTCCCCCATCTTGTTCCTGTTGGCCTGTCATTCATGCAACAGCCTCAACCTTACTTCCTCTTCAGTAAGTGTCTTCTACAGTCTTGTCTCCTTTAATCTCTTCCACATTCTATTTTTATCCAGTACTGTTGGGGGGGAAGTCCTGTGCATTTGTCAATAAAGCACTACTGGCCAATAGGAATCTAGATAGATGGGACTAGGAGTCCAGGAGAACTCTGGGAAGGAGAAACACAGAGAAATAAGATGTAATGCCATGGGGTAGGAAGCCTGGAACTATTCTCCGGTAAGAGAAATACTTAGATTAACAATTATCGGGTAATTACTTAAGTCAGAGCTAGCCAGTAAGAAACAAGCAAGGCCAACAGCTTCATAATTAGTATAGCCTCCTGTGTGTTTATTTGGGACTGGTACGGCTCTAGAACCAGGCTGGCGGGAAAGCTTCTCTCAAGGAAAAAGCTTCCCTTTACACAGTGCAGACTGACTTCTCTAATACATGGAAATCATTTTCAGTCTCCTTCTGTGTTTTTTAATTTAGTTTGTTATGAGACAGGAACTCTGTAGCCCAAATTATAGACCTGAAGTGATCTTCATGCCTCCAACCTCATCATACCTGGTATGAATATTACTTCTAGAACAGCACAGATTTGAAATATTAATGGTAAAACAGAAGTGGAAGGATACTATCACAATTATGGTATGGAGTGCTAGATATTTGCACACTTTTTTATCTTTCTATTTCTCTTGAATTTAATACCCTCAAGAAGAGGTTGATTTTACTCCCTGTTCACTTGCCTCTAAAGACTCAACAATACAGAACTCAGAACATGGTGACATTGTTACATCCTTGAGGGAGATGTAAAAACACTTGAGAGTAAACTGTCAAAAGTCACAAAGTTACTAAGTACCAAAACTAAATGTGACATTCACCATGAAATATCTGTATCAATAGTTTCCCTATTATCTCAGGGATTTAAGATTCTATCAAAATTAGAGGAAATGTGATCAAAACAACCTTTTTCCAGTTTCTTCCCTTATTGGACATTGTCTGGAGAGTAGTAACACTAATCTACAGTACAAAAGAGCAGCATGAATGGGCATCAGAGTGTGATCTTCTGGCAACCCACATATGTCTAGTATTAGACAGTGCTTACTGGCTCCTCAACACAAGTGACCTGTGGTGATCCAAATTTGTTTACGGGCAACTCCACAGAAACCTCAATGTTCTACCAGTTGGTGGTAGGTTTGGAGGAAGAATGGTATCATAAATCAGGCAGTAGCCAATGGCATGGTCAGATTCTAGCTAAAACATGGGACTGGGCCCCGAAAAAGATGCCAGGAGACCAACAGCAGCCACGAATGACTCTGTCAAATGGCCAAGCATGACAATCCTGCTTCTCAGGGCTATTTGGGTAGGAGTCATGGCAGTGCTTATTACAAGGGTCATTGCTGAAACTGCTCATAATTTGAACATGGTGTGTCACATTCCGGCAGAACATATTTCAACAGCACATACTATACATTCAGATAATAGCATTGGAAAGGAAGGCAAGTGACAATTAGTTTGAGGCAACCCAGGTGAGAAACTGCTTCAGTAGGCTTGAATTGTGAGTTGTCAGCATTTGTCCAGGACCAAAGAAAGATATCAAAGGGATCTTGGTGACAGTGTTGAAGGTTAGGGCTGAGTACATTGAGTATACTTTGTAGGACATGATGAACTACAAGGCTCTTCATTTTGGGTTCTTCTCCAGGGGTCTTTCCTTAGGTTGTGATGGTCCAGGTTGGACTCACCGCTCTCTTCATACTTTGCATTTCTTCATTGTAGGCTTTGGTTCTTGGACCAACTTGACCCCACATACTTACATTCAAGGATGATATCACTGTGAATTTCCAGAAGCAGTGATCTTCAGCTAATATGCAGATGCTTATAAAAATGGATTATGCTATTAGAGGCAAAAAAAAAAACCAGAGGGGCTGAAGGTGAGGCTGGCTGTACTTATTCTCTCTTTCAACCCCTTGTTGCTGTTCTACCCATACTTTCCTACCCATGGATGGTTTCCCAAGATAGGTTTTTTGTTTGTTTGCTTGCTTGTTTTATTGATTTATTTTGTAGCTCATGTTGGTCAAGAGTTCACTGTTTATCTCACTCCGTCTTCAGACACATGGCCACTCTTTCCTGTCTCTGCCTCCCTTGTTGTAGTGTCCACATGGTGAGTCACAGTGTCTGTCTGCTTTCTTTCTTCTTCCACAGGTAAAGTGAGTGTGGAAGTTATTGTAGCTTCCTACACCTTGCAAACCTCTGTAGAATCTTGGACTAATAACGTTCTTGGCCATGGCTGGGTCTGAGACTATGATCATTAGAGAAAAGAACAGTTGCAGAAAGAAGACATTCATGAGCACAGGTGCTGGGTTACATGAAAAAAGCAACGTAGCTTGATGGATTATAAGTGAAAAAAGGAGCAGCCATTTCCTCATCTCAGTGTATCTTCACAGACTGGAGAATGTTTGATATTTTATAGGAATATAGGGCAATTGATTTCCTTTCTCATTTATTTTGTGTTGTATTTCTCTTTCTGCTACTCACCAGTAGGTTCTTAGAATATGGATTATGACACAGCTCCAGCAGGATTTAACCAAGATAACCATATCTATTACTCCTTATTAAAAATGACACAGAATCTAGTTAAGTTGTCTTCCACCAATTGCATGAGGCCTTGCAGCTTTCACTCAATAGCTCTTTTACACTGAGAGAGTGCTGTGGCATATAGCTCCATGTCCAGCTCAGCAGAACTATTCTTCCATGTGGGTTGATTAATGATGAGTACTGGTGGACAAAACTCTTCAGAAAGAATGTCCTTTTTCATATTGGGTATTGATTTCTGTAGTTTGTGGCTTCATTGAAAGTTTTCCTTCTTTCAACTTTGGAGGGTATCTGTACTAGATATACTAATGCAAATCAGTTGTCCATGCTTTGTTTAAATAGTCTATGCCTTCCTGGCATTTAAAGTTTAAGTTGATGATCATGCTCTTTTTGTGATATATTTGCTTGAATGTATGTGTTCTAATTTGCTTCTCTGTGGCTGTGATAAAATACTGAGAAAAACACGCATATACATCACAGTCCATTGTCTAAGGAAACCAAGACAGGAGATCAAGACAGGACAATGGGATAGGAACCAAAGCAGAGACGACAGAGGAATAATGCTTACCTTACTGGCTTGTTTGCCCTTGTTTTCACAGCTACTTTTCTCATAAAACCCATGGTAATTTTACTAATGGTAATCTGCCACAGACATTTTAATAGGCTTATCTGATGGAAGTCATTCCTATACTGATGTTCCTTCTTTCTGGGTCCCACTAAGGTGGGTCAAATTAACTAAAGTCAGTCAGCACTCTTTGAAGTAGTTTTTTTTTCCTTAGCCATAGCTAGTACAGTTTTTTGTTCTGTCTCTGTAGTGTTTGAAGTATCCTGAATTGGGAGGTCCCTTGTTTGTGTTATGGGTTTGGCAATCTTCATGTTCTGTGATTCCTGTATATATCAAGGACTGGAAGATGACGGAGGATGGAGAGGAGTTATTGTTGGGAGGTGTATGATATCCAGTTCCCAGATATGGATAGGTCTATGTTTATGAAAATGTTAGAAAAGAAGGTAAATCAACAGGGATCAGAGTAGTGGACAGGACTTTAGTGGCTGTGTTTATCCTATTGATGTACTATGGTCATTAAAAGCTATCA